TTAACTCGTTGGTAATGTCATATTTATGATTATTTATTTGATTATATTATTCTTTTTAAATCTTGATATTAAAAAAGAAAAAGAAAATATAAAATCAGAATTCTAATAATTATTTAAATTACAGCTAAAGTAATTTAAAAAAATTACTGAACTTTTATAAATTAGATAGGTTTGAAAATAAAAAAAATACTATGAATTCTTAAATTCAAAATTTTAAAAAATAAATTTATAATTTATAATTTTTTTTATAAATAATTATTAATATTAAAAGAAAAAAATTATGAAAAAATATGATATTAATATTATCTTTTTTCAAACATGTTATTTCATACAAGAATAAAATTTTGGAAGAAATTTTTTTATTTTTATTTATTTTTATGAATGTTTGCTTATCAAAGTATTGAATATAGAGTTTATTGATAATAACATGTATACTAATGACAACTTAGTTATTCTTTAAAATTAAAAATATGTATTTTAAATTATACATATATATACATATATATACATATATACATATTTTTTTGTAAATTAATACAAATTTATGTATAGAGCAAAAAATTAATTGTTTAATAAAAAATATAGAAATAAGACTATGTATTTAGAAGTTAGTTCAAATTTTTCATAGAAATAAAACTACATATATTGTTCAAAGATTATTATTATTTTTATTATTATTATTTAACATCAAAATCATACAAGTACTAAAGTTGAATATATTATATTATTGTTCAAAAAATAGTATAGAAGTTATTATTCACCATCTCTAAATATAAAAAATGATACATAATATTCTACCAATATGATGTGAAATATTTTAAACTAGTATGATATAAAAAATAATTCTTAAGCATGCTCTTGTGTATCTTATTAATTATTTAAGTTAATATATGAAAAAAATTTAAAAAGGAGATTTTTTTATTATTTATATTTTATTATTAAGATTTTTATTTTTATTTTTATTAAGATTTTTTTTTTGTTTAGTTTTTTTCTGTAGAATTTTCCTATCTTTTTAATGAGATTGGTTTTTCATTTTAAAAACATATATATATATATATATATATATATGTATGATTTTATAAGTTTATGTATAAAAATATCATTTACATATTTTGATAAGTTATAAAAATTTAAATTGATAATATTATATTATTATATTATAATACAATTATTGGATAAAGGAAAAATATATATAGATTATATTGTTAAAAAATTGATTGAAAAATTTAATAGCTAATTATTCTAAAAAAAAATAAGTATAAGATATTAAAGTAATAAAAATATTTAGCTTGTGATGGGTATTTCCAATATTGTCACAACAAGTAGATATTAACTAACTATTTAAAATAGCAAGTGTACTACTTTACTAGCAATAAACATGTATTTAATGTTTTTTGTGTTCCAAGTGCATTGGTATGATATTACACGACTAATAGGTGAAAGGGATGAAGAAATTATTATATTATAAAAGATCTTACTTCAAATATTGTAGCAAATTATTTTAAAAGATAGACAATAGTTCAAAAGAAAGTAAAACTAAAGGTGTAAATGCTATCTTTTTGCAAAGTGGAATTCTAATTACTTTGTAAGGCCATAAATAAGGCAAAACAAGGTAGATTAGAAAAATAAAAAAAAAATGAACATATATAAGTAGAAGTTAGAAGTTAATTTGAACAAAAGTTAAGTCAAAAAGGAAAAATTTGATACCCGAAGAAGATCAATTATCAACTTGGGTCGAAATCAGACCTTGAGGCACAAAACCGAGCACCTATAGCAATTCCCCGGTTTTTTGGCAGATTAGAGAGTGTGATTTGAAAGCAGACTTGATAAGGTTTCTTTCAACATTAATTTTGAGTGATTTGAGTATGTAATAACTTTGTAAGAGCTTTGCAAAGTCATAGTTGTTTTAGGTGATTCTAGAATTTGTGAAATAAAAAGGGTATTACATTTTGGAGAATTTTATGAGTTTGGTAGTAAATCTACAATTCAAATTTTGAAGACTTATGTGATTAGTTGTCTGAAGTGTATGTAGTCCATCAGGGTTTTAAGTAGGATTAAGTTAGGACTTGGTTAAGATTTATTTAAGATATAATTGTGATTATTCTAATATTTCTTTATAATTTCTTAGGAATTCTTTTAAGGTTTATTGTAGATTTCTTATTGTTTTTTTGAAATATCTTTAAAGTTTCTTTTAAATTTAATTAAAGCTTGTTTAGCATTATTAGGATTTAATTAGATTTTATTTAGTATTCTATTAGAGTAATGATTTTGTTGTTACAATTTCCATTCTACCTACCACAGTCAAGTGCCCAATGCATTTTCAAGTAAGATTTCATGTAATATGACAACGTAATTTTTTTTTTATTTTTTTTATTTTTTTTTAGGACAAAATATGAATACTAAAGCTAGGATAGTATTCAAATTTAATATGTGTATTTTAAAAATAAAGATGCAAAGTTAAGAACTATAAAGATGTTTTTTAGTAAATAATAAAAACTTAAAAATAGACTTTAGAAAATTTTAGGAACAAATAATTCTTCAATTCTTATTTCTTAAAAATAACACATCTTACATAAAGTACTTACAATACTATGTGAGATACTTATAGTACAAACATCAACTAATACAAGTGATACAATTTACATTTGGTACCAATAACTTATATACATTAATTTTAGATGATTGTATTTTATAGTATTATTGTATTGTATTACAACTATTAGATGAAGAAAAAAATATAGATTTTATTATAGAAGTATTTTTAGTAAAAAATGTATTAAAAAATTACTTTCAAAAAATATGATAGGAAGACAATAAAAATATTTAATGTTGATATTGCCTTCATATAAAAATAAACTTTTACTTATTTTATAAAATCATAAATAAGGCAAAAAAAAGTGAATTAAAAAATATAATATTACAAGTATTTACAAATGGAAGTAAAGTGTAGTTTTTAGCAAAATTAATTAAAAAAATATTAAAGACTTATAATCAAAGAAGACTAGATGTGAATGAAGATTGAAACCAAATTCTAAGGTACAAAATTGCATAGTAATATAAATTGCAAGGTTCTTTGGTTGATTAAAAAATAAGGTTAAAAAAAAATCATTTATAATGTTTGTTCAAGCATTCATTTTTAAGTAGCTAGAGTAGATATTGACTTTGTAGGAGCTTTGCAAAGTCATCATATCACAAATACATATTTACTCTAATAGTTATTTAGATATTATGAATACGTAAAAGTAAGTTAGTTTCATAATATCTTATCAAAAAGCTTTTTAGAAGCTTCATAGACATGATTGTATCTTTATATATATTTACAAATAATTGATAGGTTAAAAAAAATTTCAACAAATAAGCCACATATTGCACATATTGGTAGACTATGGCATAAATTAACGATGTGGTGTTCATATAAAAAAATTGTCTTGCAAGTTAAGACACGTGTTAGAGGTCCTACAGAATGTCACCACATGGCTTCTAGTTAGATAGTATATATGGAGGCAAGAGTGAAGCCTTCTTCTCTCTTGTTAATGCTATTCTTGTCTTTAGTCTTATTTCAAGACTTTCTAGTCTTCTTGTCTTTGGTAATAGCCATTTCAATTTTAATACTATATTAATTTTAAGTAAATATTTATATTTTTAAAATATACAAGAATATATTAAATTTTTGGTTCTATGAGTTTCATGTCTTTGATACATGGATGTTTGAAGTAATTTGAGAATTTATAAAATAAAAAAGAATTTATATTTTTATAAATTTTGTAAATATTATATCAAATTGATGGATTAAAACCTATAGAATTTTGAATCTACTTGTTTTAAATGTATTTTATAGATTTATAATTAATTAAATAATTAGATCAAAGGTTATTAAAAATCAATTGGATTAAGGTGTTGAAAATTAGATTTTATAGATTAATGAGGATTTCTATAATTTTGAGCAAAATATAACTTGGATTGAAACAATTTTTTATGACATAATAATAAACTTAACTTGCATCACTTTTCCAAATTTTAAGGACTAATGAACAATGAAACAAGAGGCTATTGTTGCTAGTAGATTAATATCGAGGTTGGAGAAAGAAAACAATCAACACCTAAGTAAATTAAGAGCTTTTTATTTCAATCTATAAGTTTGATTTTTTTAAAATTTTGTGCATTTATTTTTAATTAATAGATTGAAATACATGCACATTTTAAAGCAAGTTTAAAATTTTAATTAATAATTTTTGAGGTTTAAAATTGCTATAGGATTTAATTAGCATTGATAAAAATTTGATTAAAATTGATTAGAATTTGATTAAGATTGATTGGGATTTGATTATGATTTAATGAGAGTTTATTTAAGGTTTCTTTATGAACTTTTTAGGAATTTTTAAAGATTTTTTTTATGATTTCTTTAATATTTATTATTGTTCTTTGGAAGTTCTTTAAGAATTTTTTTATAGTGTTTTAAGGATATTTTTAGATTTTTTGAGAATTTGATTAAGGTTTGATTATGATTATTAAAATTCAATCTGGATTTATTTAGGATTTTATTAGGGTTGTTAGGTTCTTCACAAGTTGCAAACTACCAGTGCAATATAGATATTTTTTTCAATTGATATTGTTTGTATCTACCATGGTAAATGCTATTGCAGCTGTTATTCAATTTGACATACTTTTTATAATTTTTTGACATCAATTAATTGAATAAATTTTTGCAAAGATGTTTTTAGTACTACAGAGTTGCTGTTTATGAGAATGCATAAATTTTTATTTATTTATTTATTATTAATCCCTTCTGTAATGTGAGTCTTCATTGCTTATTTGAATTGTTGTATTGATCTGGCTATTGCAAATGCTCTTTTTTATGAGTTTTTTTTATGAGTTTTTTATGATTTTTTTAAAAAATTAATATTTTATTTATTTATTTATTTATAATACCGAACGTGGTTTATCTAGTATCATAAAACAGAACAAACAAACAAACGCAGGTGGATCACTTATAGACCCTATTAGACCCTAAACCTGGTTGCATTCCAAAGCATGTTACAAACTAGTTTACGGATCACTTATCACCAGAAAAACGACACACGACTTGCATGAAAGATCTTTCCATCCACTCCACTGCATTACACTGCAAAGTGCGTGTACCAAATGGCTCTGCGTGACTTAATTACGACTCATGTAGCTACACCAAGTCTCCTCTCACCCTACGATTCCAACATACCGTAAAAGGCCAGTTAGGTGCTCCTCAAGTTGCTCTAACGCTAGAATCTCCACACTAGGTAATCAACTGTGCAGGTGGATTAAGATTCAATATTTACCTGTACATTTTGGACACGAGGATGATGTTATAACTGCAGGATTCCAGTGGGGGAGAGTCAAAGCTTGGCTAGGTCGAGCAGTGGAGCTGCCTGGTAATTAGATCTTAGATTAACCAGTATTGGTATAGAAAAACTGAAAATCTACCTGAAGTTGTGGTCAGAGTTGTAAGGCCAGTTGCAAGATTGGTGTGAAGAATACCCGTGGCCAGAGCCGTACTGCGCACTGGCACTGTAATTGTTGACGTCCTCCTCGCAATCGAAGGGAGTGTAGAAGGGTGAAAGTGGCGGACCAGGATCTGGGAAGTCATCAATGTCAACTTCTTGAGCTGGTTCTTGTGTTGATGGGCCTGGGCCAGACTGCATTGCCAGTTTGCCATACTTCTTCACCACCTTTCTCAGCTTCGCGGCGAAGTCCTGGTCTGGCAGATCGTCGGGAATTTTGGGGATCTGTTCGTAGATGGGGTGACCTTCAAAGTTCAGGGACGTTTTGCTTCCGAAATATTTTATCGCCACATCGTAGGCGTACGCCGCTTCACGAGGAGTGGAGTAAGTACCCAACCACCAGGTCCTGCTACCTTTGGGAGGTCTAATTTCAGCCACCCATTTGTGTTGTCCCTTGCGATAGCGCACACCTTTGTAGGATTCGGTATTCTCACCTCCCAGGGTAAAGCCTGCACCTGAGGCTGTCGATGCTCTAGGCGACCTCTGGTCTTTGCGGTGCACATTCATGTGGCCTCCTAGAGATTGCCCTGACGTAAATACGTTTCCACATACTTTGCACATGTAGGTCCGTGAAAATGAAGAGGTTCGGGCTGGAGAGCCGTCTGAGCTTCCATCGCTGTCGCTGCCAGAAGAAGCCATTGACACTGAAGGAACTGGATTCTGTGCAGTTGGAAATGTAGCACCTCTAGCCGCCTTCAAAACTTTAGACTATAAGGCCGAAAAGTTCGGCATCCTGGTCGATGAGAGCAATCCGATGCATAAGGGTCTCGTAAGCTATTGCGAAGTGGAACCCTGAGGTGCTAGCATTACTATGTAATCCACGAATGTTACTTCAAGTTTTGAATGCAAGAGTTCTGGTCTTGTGTGGAATACAAGTGCAATCAATCGGGTATGGTCGGCTTTGGCATTGTTGAACCATGAGAGCAATCTATTACAAACAAATCTAGTAGCATTCGGAGCAAGACTTACATTTTTTATGATGAAAAGTCACGGTCGTGCCGTTGAATAAAACCCATCAGAGGTGCGATTCGATTGTTAAAACTTGCAACACCGCCATCTTGAACTCAATCTCTGCCCTACGATGCAGATGTCGAAGTTATTCAGCCCCAGGAGACTCTACAGACTGCAAAAACGTCGGGGAGGTGGTGACCTCGACCATGATCTCGCTACTCTACATATCGGGATTGGCATGAGCTGCTGCAGACACACGCCGACCTGCAGGAAATAGCACTGGCCCTTCCTGCAGGAAATAACACTGACCTGGCCGTATTGCTTGGGAATTTGTATTCGCTCTAGGGCTGGCCGTCAAGCGGGGTCTACCGACAATCACCAGGCTTGCCTATTAAACCGCTTCGTGTCGGTAGGTCTACAGCCAATTGCAGGTGTTCAGGAATGTGCCTTGGAACAATGCACATGGGAAGCTTTTATAACTGAACCCTTGTGGGTGAGATGAAAAATTTTACCTAGAACGGCACATTTTCTCATGAGCTACAGTCCAGCTCGATTATCCATTATAGGGTGGCTCAAGCGGACATGTACATGGCAGAAAAAAAATTCCTTCCGGTATCAGCCCAAAGGTCCCTCGCGTAGAAAACTCACGTTTGCGTCCCTTCGCCGCTTTGGTCGAATCGAATGGGATTGGGGGAATGGCATCATGATGAGGTGTCACCCAGATGATCGCAATTTGGGCATCCGAAGATCATTGTCCGAGAAACTGGCAGATCGGCCTACGTTCGATGTTGATGGAGAATCTTACAACTAGGTAACACCAGAGTGAATTCAGCCAACCTCCACGGAGATTAAGCTCCCACTATGTGCAAGTTGGCTGACTTCGGATGAACCCTGACCACCTGTTAACATCCCACACATCTCAGCTCCGTTCTATCATCTTCAAAAAGTACCTGGATCTGATAACTACGAGAACTGTGAACATGAACAGCGCTCCACTGCGAACTCGTACATTTCACAATGAAAAACACACTGAAACTTGCAAGATGGCAAATGGTTCAAAGTATGATTTTACCAGGGGAATCTGGGTTAGGTGAAGAGACTTCCATTGATTCAGGAGATTCTATGCGCAGATCCACAATGAGTCCAAGCCTCTCGAGGTAGTGACGACGAGAAATTTGTGTGATGCGAATCCTGTGCTCGGAGTCGACCAAGCCAGACTGCTGGCGTCACAGTTCTATCAGAAATGAGTTTTTGATGGAGAATGGGGGTGAGCTTGGTCTGGTGGGGGATGCAGAAAAGTCCTTGCTCTAAAGTCCACAACAGTGTGGCCGGCTCCGCGAAAGTCACGCAAATACGAGTTCCTTTAGCATGAGCCCCCACCAATCGGCGATTCAGTTATACAGTAACTTTGCCGACTGATGCCGACTGACTGGCTGGCATTGCCACGCTGGCCCTAATTCCTGCCACCTAGCGCTCTTGCAGGCCTTCACATGACGTGGCACACTAGGCCCTTTGTTTCATTCCCGATGTGAAACAAAGACCCTTTGTTTCGGATTTGGGGTCTTGCCTTTCTCCAAACATCAATGCAATCACACACTAAACAACCTCCAATTCTTGTTTTGAATATTTTGGTCCAGATTGGTAGGTTTTGGATATTGCAGTGTAGCATCCACGGGCTTGAGTGACAGGTTTGGTGGGATCCGTTTCTTGTGTGTGATTGCTTGTATAGTTTTGATGACATTTTTCTATCATTAAATGTATTTTGGTCCTGATTTTGTAATTCTCTAACAATGTTTGACAGTTGTTTTTTTAATTGTTTTTGGTTGGTTATGAACATACTTTTGGCGCACAATGCCTTGTTTAACAATAATAAATTATCAAAATAATATTTTAATAACAGATACTACATATTATATCAAAGGTAGTGGTGTCTATTTGATTTTTTTATTCATCTATTCGAAATATCATCTATCTATAAGTTCACCTATTTAAAACTAACATTTTACTAGCAAATTTAGTATCTTTCTTCAAACCGATAGCAAGTCTTTTTTTTTAGCTTCAATTGTTACTAATAAAGTATCAATCTAAGCCTTGGTTTTTATTTTAATAAACTTAATATAATTAAATTTAAACATTCATAAATTTCTAAATAAACTTCAAAATAGATGTTTGAAAAATATATAGTTATATTCATTAGCAATAAAATCTTCATTGAGATTATTCACTATAATTTTAAAAATATATATTTTGTTGTTAGTTTATATATTTATAATTTAGAATTATATATATAATAAATAAAAATAAACCTTTAATTTATAGTAATAAACTCAAATGGTATTATAATTTATTATTTAGTTCTTTCAAAATTATGATTTTTAAAATTTTTATGTAATTTATATTTAAACATATAATTATGTTATTCTATATATATATATATATATATATGTATATACATATCTATTCATGGTTATATACAAGTATATATATAGTTTTAAAAACAACATTTTTTATCAAATATTATAAGCATAATCTTTTCTATCATTTTTATTTTAATTCTTTAATTTTTTTTTTGTAATTTAATGAATGTAATAAAAAATGCAATAGCTTGTAATATTTTATGTATGCATGTGCTCAAGCTTGTACTGAAAATTCTTCAATATATTAAGGTAAAACAAACCTCAAGAAAAATATTAAAAAATACACCTTTCTAACTATACTTGAAGTTGCTGTAAATACTGATGAAGAAATTTCATTTGAAAAAAGAATCACCATCTATTATGTAATTAATAGAATTTTTAAGAAGATCAATAAAAGACATAATGTTTATAATTATTCAGCATATTCTACTGTATTATTATATGATAAGTATAGCTTTATTCTAATTATTTTTTATGAAAGAGTTAAAAGTATAGAAGCCAATGACAACAATGATCAAGAAGAACAAAAAATAGATAGAAAGAATCAAGCTAAAAAAAATAACATATAAGAATAATAACTTATTCCTCACATTACTTACATTTTTGTTGTATTTAATGGATAGTTATCTTAAACATGATAAGATTAATTATAAGAGAATTATTAAAAATATATTATAAAAATATTAAATTAATTCAAATATTTCTTAAATTGGTCTATTTTTAATAAAAAATAGTTCTTACTTCCATTACTTCAATTGACCTCTGCTCTAAAATATAATACGCTCTACTTCTAAATTCATTTTGTAGTGTATATTAGATATAGAGTATATGTTCAAGAATTTTACTTTTACAATTGATAGATCTAATATTTTTAAATTAGTAAGATCTATCATTAATAGGAATTAGTGATAAGGCTTTTATTATTTCAAATTATAAAGGTTCTTTGCATGCCAATGTTTCAAATTGATCAACAACTTGACTTGGTCATTATTGCTCCAATGCTCTTCCTAACAAGGCCATGTTTCTTTGCAATAGACAATTTTCTAGCTTGAGTGATGTCTCTATTAATTTAAACAAATAACTTCTAACATCTTCTTACTAATGAGATTTCAATATCTTATTCATGACATTAAGAAAAGATTCCAATATTTATAGTGCCATTATATGTATACCTTAAGTGTCTTACAACATGATTTCTTTATAGAGGTCTTCACTTCATTTATCATATTCTCTTAAAGTAGCCTTGTATTGTCACAACTATCTAACTTTTGTAAGATATCAAAATAGATAAAAATATACTATTTCTAAGGATAAATTTACTCATTGCTTCTCCTTTATCATGTCGATATAAGATGGTCATATTATTTGAATAACAACCTCAAAATATGATTTATTTATTTATTTATTTATTTATATCTATCTCAAAAAAGTCTTTGTCTTCTTTTTTAACTACAAATTCAATGATTTATTTAAATACTTTTTTATAGAATAATCAACTATGATTATGAGAAACTTGTATGTATTTTTTTATAATTTCATAGATTTAATTTACAAATGCTTATAATAGACCAACTGTCATGGACATACTCATATAAGCTAGTAATTACATATACAAATAGGTAGAAGTAAGTAAAAGTAGTTAAAAATAAGTTAATTCTATAGTATTTAATATGAAAGCTTCTTAGAAGCTTTATAGATGCTGGTTTGACTTCATAGGTGTCTTTAATTGACTTTTTAGATTAGAAACGTGGTCAACAAGTTGGCCATGTGCCACACATGTTATTAGCTTGAAGATCAAGCTAACTATGTGGCCCACACGTAGAAAAACTTGCCTTGTAAGTCAAGGCATGTGTCCTACAAAGTCAACACATATTGGAGGTCTTATAGAACGTCGCCACATAGCCCCTAGTTAGATAGTATATATATAGAGACAAGAGTGAAGCCTTCTTTACTCTTGTCAATTCCTTTCTTGCTTCTAGTTTAGTTTCAAGGGTCTCTAGTTTTCTTGTCTTTTGGCAATAGCCATTCTAGTTTTTCTTTCAATATACATACTTATTTATTTATATTTTGTTACCTTTCTTTGAGTGAAGGCTCACTTGTCTGGATTGTTTTTTCATCGAGTTCTTGTCCTTGATACCAATTTAAAATTAAATCAATCCTTGAGTTCTTTCTATATGTTTTCGTGATGTGATTTAGCTATCATATAATATATATATATATATATATATATATATATATATAATTTATACTTTATTACATAATATAATAAAATTTATATCAATAGATTTTAGTTGATTAATAAATATAATAAGATTATTAATTTAAAAGAAATTAGTTTAAAATAGGTACTATTGAGTTTGATTTATGTTGATAATAAATTTTATATATTTAAAGTCATAATTAAAAAAATTAGTGATCATTGAAATATTACTATATTTAATTTTTTAAACATTTAACACACATAATATATAAATCTTATTAGAAAAAAAGATTAGAAAGAAATATTGATATCAAAAAGAATAGTTATATCATGTGTGTAGATGAATAGAGATGGATAATAGAAATCTCTATTCTTATTGGCTAAAAATCATGTCTAATGGACTTCAAGAAGACTTACTAGGAATTAGAATTGCTCTTTTAGAGTCATTCATATACTAAAAGCTAAGTATCTAAAAATTAGATTTTAAAATATGGTTTGATTTAAAAATTGAATAATTTGGAGTTATTATAAAGGAAATATAGGCACTCAAATTCAAGGTGTTGATTTTGTAACTATTTTTATCCTTTGGAGCATGACACATGTATATCAAAAATAATGAAGAATTGATAACTAAGATTAAAGAGAGTACTTTTAAAGCTACACTTTATATCTACACTTCATAAATTTTAAGTTAAATTGATGGAAATATTGAGAGTTGAACTTAGTACTTGTAATTTAATGAAAATATATTATTTATTTATTTAATAGTTATTTTTGAGCTATATTTAAATAAATTTAATTATTTTTTATAAATTAAGAGATTTTTTTTGGAGCCAAAACTTAATAAAGGTATAAAAGATGGATTTATATAGCTATAATAAAATTTTAATATGAAGATAAATCTTTGAATGAATATCATGGATTTTTTGTAAAATTATTGTAAATCTAATATATCAGCATTTGATTACATATAGATCGGCATAGCAATGGCAATTAGAGAATTTATAGATGCCATAGACAAACTTATGTACAAACTTAGGTATAAAGGGTTCTTTTTTATAATTTCTTTAGTTATTATTATTATTTTTTAAATTTTTTTCATATTAAAGATAAATATTTTATTAAAACTTAGAAAATAAGTTAATAATAAACTCTCTACAACTAAATTCTTAGACTCTTCTTTGATCAAAAATAACATAATGAATTTATATTCCTGAAGTAGGAGTATTTTTTTGTTCAGGTGGCAACAAAATGCTCTTTGGAATTCTTTATTCAAGTATTTTTAAGATAATTAAGAAGCTCCAATACATTTGGGTATTTGCCCTTTAACTGGCTCCAATGCATTTCAAACAATTTTATGGTGCAAAAGTACAAATACTTTAGAAAATTTTCTATAATGTCTCTTTATCTTTATAGTATCAAAGTATTTTTTGAAAATTTCTACCATATTTTTCTAATGTGCCAAAGACAAAGTAATAGTTGTAAACTATAAAAATAAATCTTGTAAGTATAAAAATCAAAGCTAGCCTAGTGTGAGGCCAAATTTCACCACTTGATGAAACCTATGCCACACAACAAGTCCAAGAGGTGGAATTGGAGAGCCCCCAATTGTGTAATTGTTAGATTAATTTAAATCTTTATATTAAAAATTCAATTAGTTTTAGGCCTTCCAAGCAATGGTTACCAATATTATATTAACATGTTAAATAAAATTTACTATGAAAATATAATAAAAAT